GATCCCGATTTGCTTCAAAGCAAGAACAGTTCTTCCCACGTTGCACTCCAAGAAATTCAGGCCCTCAATCTCATGACTCTCCACCAAAACGAGGTACTATAATGGTTCCAGCCTCCTTGCCTATCAGAAAACTTTTCGTTCACTCTAGATTTAGTCAATATCCTCTAATATTTTAAGGGCCTTAGTGGTACACTGGTACTTGATGATAAATTTTCTGCTTTCTTATTAGACACTGGTATTGCTAATGAGAAAGAGTGGGGCATCGATATGCTAAACGAGAATGTCAATGAATCTGGGACTAACGAAGATGGTAGTACTTGGTACCGAAAGAGTGGAGAAAACAGTGGTGAAAATGGATACCGATGCCGATGGACCAAAATGGGTGGGAAGAGCCACGATGATGCCTCAGAATGGAAAGAAATGGTACATATGTTATTAAGGTTGTATTGCTATGGATGTCAAAAGATTGTATTTAAGAAACATAGTCAACCAGCATACTATGTTTAGAACACGCATGCATATTATTGAGCTTCCTCTCAAGCTAAAGTTTGCGCTGGTTTTCACTTTCTAAGGAACTAACATGTAGTTGAAAAAAGTTAGTGGTTCGCATCTAGGAATATTCGTTGTGGATATTCCAATTAGTCCTAGTTACAAGTTTGTAAGTCTGATTGATCTATCTTTTGCTTATAAATTCTGTGCATACTATATAAGCCTGAGTTATTAAATATGCAACTAGATAAGCATACACTGGGAGGTTCTTGATCATTGCTGATCTCAATATTAATTTGTTGGCATTTCTTTATAACCTTATCAAGTATCATCCCAGGTGGATGCATTTAATTGGATTTCTTGATCTCCTTGACAGTGGTGGGAAAAAAGTGACTGGACTGGTTACAAAGAATTAGGTAATACTAATTTTTGTCTTACATTTATATGTTGTAACCATATTACTCATTGATCTGAGTATTGCTTTTAGTCAAGCAATGTCACTTGTACTTCTGGGATTCATAATTTATTCACGTTTTTGTTTGTTTAATGATTGTAGGCGTAGAAAAATCCGGGAGAAATGCTGAAGGAGATTCATGGTTGGAAACGTGGCAGGAAGTTCTTCATCAAGATGAGTGGAGGTTGTATCCAACTTTTTTTGATATTATATGCTGCTGAATCCTCCTGCTTACTTTCGTGTTTTAATATCGCTGTATTTAATGCTTTGACAAAACCATTACACATATATAACACTGCATTTTCTTACTGCAGCAATTTAGCTAGGATAGAGAGGAGTGCACAAAAACAAGCAAAATCGGGTACAGAAAATGCTGGGTGGTATGAGAATTGGTAAGACTTGTGAAATGGAAGATTCATAATCATGTTGCCATGAACAATCGTGTTAAATCACATTGTTTTGATGCAGGTCAGAAAAGTATGATGCAAAGGGTTGGACAGAGAAAGGAGCCCACAAGTACGGTAGACTGAATGAACAGTCATGGTGGGAAAAATGGGGAGAGGAATATGATGGAAGAGGATCTGTCCTTAAATGGTATGTTGTTTTTCTGTTATCCAAAATAAAAAGGTACCTTATTTAACTTGTTTTCTTAAAGACGAAAAGGAGTTGCTTCAAGTTGTCAGATACGCTGGACTTGTTGGAAATTTTTAATATGGAAGTTGGAATATTAAACCTTTTGTACTTGTTGCAGTGCCTCCTTGTTACTGATTTTCAACAAAAACCTTTACTTCATAAAAAAAAATATTTGAATGAGAAAGCTAAGATATATGCCTTCACTAATAGTATAATTGAGGTCGATAATTTGCTTTATAAGATAATAGAGTTGCTTAACTGCTTATGTATGACCTATTTGTGCCTTCACTAATAGAATAATTGAGGTCGATAATTTGCTTTTATAAGATAATAGAGTTGCTTAACTGCTTATGTGTGACCTATTTGTGCCTTACACTAATAGTATAATTGAGGTCGATAATTTGCTTTATAAGATAATCGAGTGCTTAACTGCTTATGTATGACCTATTTGTGCCTTACACTAATAGTATAATTGAGGTTCGATAATTTGCTTTTATAAGATAATAGAGTTGCTTAACTGCTTATGTGTGACCTATTTGTGCCTTACACTAATAGTATAATTGAGGTCGATAATTTGCTTTTATAAGATAATAGAGTTGCTTAACTGCTTATGTATGACCTATTTGTGCCTTCACTAATAGAATAATTGAGGTCGATAACTTTGCTTTATAAGATAATCGAGTGCTTAACTGCTTATGTATGACCTATTTGTGCCTTCACTAATAGTATAATTGAGGTTCGATAATTTGCTTTTATAAGATAATAGAGTGCTTAACTGCTTATGTATGACCTATTTGTGGCAAACAAAACGATTCACCTCCACATTTTGTTGCTTATAGAATTATATACTCTCTTTCTCAGGACGGATAAGTGGGCAGAAAGTGAATTGGGAACAAAATGGGGAGATAAATGGGAGGAGAAATTTTTCGCTGGCATTGGTTCACGGCAAGGGGAGACTTGGCATGCATCACTCAACAGCGAAAGTAGGTCCTATCTTGTTTTTCCCACTGTTGTCAACAGTTGCATAATATATTTTATGCATACTAACCTTTTATGATATGTCTTACACATTTTAATTCCTATAATAAGTGATTATTCAAGCTAGAACGGAATCCATCAAACATATATCACTTGCTATGTTCGTAAGATCTGAGTTTATAATTTTACAAGTAATTCATTCAAGTTTAGGGGCAAGTTAACTGTTCTTTTCTTGAACATTGATATGATATTAATCCTGATTTTTTTCGTTGTAATTATCCAGGGTGGTCAAGGACATGGGGAGAGGAGCACTTTGGAAATGGGTAATTTTATGACTATACATTCAATGTTTCATCGCGTTCTATGATATCTTGCAAGTTGCATATTGATTTCCTCGATACATTTTCCTCTTTGAAACCCAAATGATAATATAAAAAAGACTCAAGGTATGCCCCTTTGTTCTCAATCAGTAAGGTACACAAATATGGCAAGAGCACAACTGGTGAAAGCTGGGACATGGTTGTGGATGAAAAAACGTACTACGAGTAAGTGAAAGTCATCCATGTTTGCATGTTTTCATCTATGTTCTGGTATACATCGAAGTAAAACATCTTACTTGTGATTTAAGGGCTGAGCCTCACTACGGGTGGGCAGACGTGGTAGGTGATTCAAGTCAGTTATTCTCTATACAACCTCGAGAACAACCTCCTGGTGTGTATCCAAACATTGATTTTGGGTCATCTGTGCCTCCAGACGATGAGTCCCCTCCAACTAGATGATTTCTTCCCACCAATACTGGAGAGAGATAGTAGGTATGTTGGTATAGTCGTGACATATGTGCAATTTGGCATGAACACCATCGTAAGTCTCCTCCAACTTCTTCACAGTGACAACGCGTCATCTCATTCATCAAGATTGATTCTCAAGATAGCTAGCTAGTTTACATTTTTTTTCGAAATTTAGTTGTAATCTTTAGCTAGTTGCTACTGTTAGTTTATTTCATTCTTTCAGCATTGTGGTATTTGCATTTTTTTTTGTATGCTTGACATGTTCTAGAGGTCCTTTTGGATCTCTCAAGTCAAAATTTTGACACTTCTTCGTTCAACGCTCTCACTAGCTTTACCATTCTCAAAGAATCTTGCATTATCGATTTCAATAATTCTCGAATTATGATTTTGAATAGTAAAACCTATATTCTCTAAATTTCTTTGGATAATGAATTAATCACTTACTATTCGAATTTTACGTTTAATATTGTCTTTCTTATAATATCCTTTCCTTTATTAAATAAAATATACCTATCATAAATTCATTCACAAACACATTATTTGATGCTTTCTTCCTCTTATACTTGTTGATTTAACTTTAAATATTTAATTACCAACTACTTCAACTTATAAGGTTGATCAAATTAACTATTCAGAATTTCGGGAAAAAAAAGGTGGATCTAAGATATAACCTAAATTTAACCTACTAACTTTTATCATTGAAATTGTTTAACTTTTAAAATTATAGGTCCAACTATAGCTACATTTCGAGACATCTATATTTAAGTATCTTTTTAAAGAATATATAGCACTAATATATACGATTCAGGAAGAAAAACTTAGATTTACGTGAACTCCGTGAACCCCATCTAGATACATCCATGATCAAATAACTCTTTTAAGTGTAGAGAAACAAGTGTGAGATGAAATAAATACATGAAGAACGAACCATGCATAATCATTCTTAATGAATTTAAATAACTAATCATTACAATATATCATAGTTTTTCTTTGAGTAGATAGTATATTATTATTATTCCTTTTAAATTTCAATAGACAATTAAAAGTTCGCAGTCAAATATATTTTTTAACATACAAATATATACGTTTGATGACAAAAAAAAAATTAAAAAAAAAAAACTTGCTTATTATGTTCACTATTTATGAAGTAATTGATTCACTTTAGACAATAAGCTCTAACAATTATGACAGTCAATTATTCATTTATTTTCATGTAATATGTACTTATCTCATTATATCAAATACAAATAACAAAATTTAATGATGTATACTATTCATAAATACATTAATTTGACTACTTTGATGACAAATTACATCACTTTATGCATTTGTATTCTTTTTCAACAAACTAGTTTAATCACTTTAATGACTAATAAATGTTTCTCATTAAGATAAACTCATCATTAAATTTAATTACCCCAAAAACAACTTACAAAAAGAAAAAAATTAGACCATTAATTTTAGGGGAAAATCTAATAAATAACATTTTGACTATTTTGAGAAAAATCTAAGAAATAAGACTTTATTCACAATTTGTTATCTATAGATTTATTATCTTTTGACCAATTTCTCATTTTTTTTCCTATAAAGAGATTGCTTAAGTTTTAAACTAAACCACACCACCATTTCATTACACCTTTTCACTTCACTTTTCCGATATGATTAACAGTGATAACAACTGCGGTATCACTGGAAAACGAAAGAGAACTGATCAAACTCCGATTCAGTTCTTCGTTCGTTCTTTATCCAAAACAGAAACCTTAGTTATTCGAGGTTATTCTAATGACTCCGTAGAAGTAACTAAAAATAAAATCAGAATGATCACTGGTATTCCCGAAGATCACCAGCGACTAATCTATAACGGAAGACAACTCTCCTGTAAATCGGAGACATTGTCATTTTACAACGTTCAGAATGATACAACTATTTATTTGGTTGGTAAAATGCCAAGCACGTATGATCTGCAGACATGGAAAATCACAAATGAGATAATTTTAAAAATCTCCACAATTATGGAAAGTGATTATGTCTGCAGTGCTTCGGATTTGAAGGCTATGGGCATGTTAATGAGACAGTTTACTGATAAAGCATATAACTATATACATTTATTCATTTCCTCGTCTGCTCCTGCAGACTTGGTAATGATGTACATGTCTCCAGATAATGCTAAGAAAGATGTTGCTGATGAATCCATTCGTAGATTCATCAATTCATTGATGAGTACTGATTTGTATATGAAGAGATACAGTGAATGTGCTCGATTGATATTAGTGTTCTGTAAGTTACTGAGAAGAGTTGTTGGGCTTGAGGATCCCTTGTATAGTTTTTGTCGGAGTATTATAAGGGAAATAGTAGAGGCCGTTGGGATTGCAAGGTGCAAGAAGAATGTTGCTAATGAATTGTTAGCATTGAATGATGTTTTTATGTTTGTTCGTGAGGTTGTAGTTGCTGATTTATCGCGTGAGTTAGAATTGAGTATGGGATCAACTGAGTTTACGGGGTTATCACTGATGAGCATTGTGCGTGATTTTACTGAGTACATGTACTTGGTGAGGGCATTGATGCAACAACCTTTCGACTGTCCAAGCGATGAAGCAGTGTATGACCGAGAGTACATTGAGAGCTTGCATCATATTTTATCTGACTTACATATCGTTTTATATGATTTGCTAGATAAAATAGAGCGGTGTTTAAGGAAATTGGAAGATCACCTGAGATTGATCGATGAAGATGGCAGGCTTATCGTATCGTGGCTGTCTCAGTATCTTGTTATACTGAAAGAGTTAAACAACATTTCTAAGTTGTTTAACAACTCGGAGGTCTTTTGGCAGAAGTTGAGTAACCAAAAATTTTCACTGTGCTTTCTAATCGAGACGTTTGCAAAGAGTTTTGAAGGTTATCGGTGGATCATTGAGCACAAGGAGGTAACCAATTTCAAAGTACGGAGACATTTCACAATGAGGATGCTTGAAGAAGCTAGATCCGGAAACAAGGAGGAGTCATATGAGATGCTCATCGATAGGTCCGACTTGTTGGAGGCATCTTTTGAGTATATTGTAGATCAGGATCCTGCATTGCTGCGAGGCGATCTGTTAATGCAATTCAAACATGAAGAAGCTATTGGGTCCGGAGTGTTGAGAGAGTGGTTCTTCTTGGTATGTCGAGAGTTGTTCAATCCTCACAAAGCTCTCTTTGTTGCTTGTCCAAATGATCGAAGAAGGTTTTTTCCAAATTCAGGTAAGCTTTTATCGCCTTTATGCAAAAATTTGCATCAAACTAGAATTAACTTTAGTCATTAATATATATTTTTGGTCGCAGCATCTAAGGTGGATCCATTACACCTCGAGTATTTCACCTTCTGTGGTAGAATGATTGCATTGGCATTAATGCATAAAATACAAATCGGAGTTGTATTTGACCGTCTATTCTTCTTGCAATTGGCTGGAGAGGATATTTCATTGGAGGATATTCGGGATGCAGATCCCACCTTATACAGTAGCTGCAAGCAGATTCTCGAGATGGACCCTGGGACGGTGGATCAAGATATACTTAGCTTGACCTTCGCTTATGATGTTGAAGAATTGGGGTCCAGAACAACAATCGAGCTTTGTCCCGATGGGAAGGATGTTGTTGTGAACAGTAAGAATAGGAAGCAGTATGTCAATCTCCTTATTCAACATCGTTTTGTCATAGCAATTGCTTCGCAGATAGCTCATTTTTCTCAAGGTTTTTCTGATATAACTACCTCAAGTATCAAAACTTCCTTGTTTCGGAGTTTATATCTTGAAGATCTTGACAAAATGCTTGATGGGAGTGGAACTGCTATTTCTGTCGAAGATTGGAAAGCACATACAGATTACAATGGATACGAAGAAAATGATCGTCAAATATCCTGGTTTTGGAAGGTAGTCATATATATATTGTCACAGTATTTACAACTTCACACTTTAACCCGCTCTTTCTAACACATATTTTTTTTCTTTTTTTTCTTTGCGTGCAGATAGTTGAGGGTATGTCTGCTGAGAAGAAAAAGGCGCTTCTTTTCTTCTGGACTTCAATAAGGTATCTACCTCTAGAGGGTTTTCGCGGTTTAGATTCTAGACTTTGCATCTCTAGAACCTCGGAGTCTTCTGAAAACTTGCCTTCTTCACAAACATGCTTCTACTTGTTGCGCATTCCTTCTTATTGTAACAGTGTTATGATGCAAGATCGAATCGACATAATCACCCAAGAACATATTGGTTGCAGCTTTGGTAACCTGTGATTGAACTTGGACACATAGTCAGTTTATACTGTTGTACTCAAGTGTAGAATATGCTTTCCTGTATAAAACTCCGACTCTTTATATAGAAGCTATGAATGTCAATTCAATTTTAATTTCACCAAGCTCCAATAATGTTTAAATTTTTTTCGTAGCACAACTTCTTATGTAATAAAAGATTGATAGCTGCATTTCCTTGTAATCATTAAAAAGGCAATTTGAACATGAGAAATTATGGGGAAAAAAGTTCATTGCCATTAAAAAGGCAATTTGAACATGATCAATGATGTATAACATAAGTACTATTCTTATTGCTATCTAAATAGATTTTAGCGCTGAGAGAATTTTGTCCAACAACTGTGGGTTGCTTTGCACGTCTCCATTTTTATTCGATAGAGGTAAATTAGATGTCAGATGTGAAGGAAACAAGGCTAAATCTACACAGATATGTCGAAGTCGTACAGTTAGACTGAGAAGAGCTAGATGTGTTGATGGACAATGTTCTTATCTTCTGATTCCATCTAATCATAAAAGTAGATTTTGATGGCAAACCAGTAAGAGCTAGCCTTTTCTTTTGTCCTTCTTAAAGACATGGTTAGCATTAGGACCTGCAGCTTTATAATCTCCCTGCAGGGCAAGTGGACGTTGTATCAAACTGTTTCGAATACCAATAGGATATAATAAACAGAGGTTATCCTAGCTAGAATAGTTCTTCTCTCCTTCATTACTTGTCCCTGTGAAAATGTAAACGTCGATAAATTGCTATCACCACTAATCAAATACAACCCATGGTATGATTTTACTACTATTCCAAATGCTTCAATCAAATACAAAGATGTGAACTTGACAGGGAAATTTGTAAAAACATGGCATCTGGGCCTAACTCAACCCCAAAAGCTAGCTCTTGAAGAGAGGTTTGTCCAAGTCCATATAAGGTTCAAATCAAATTTAGCTATGATATCGCAAAGAGATATAATTGGACACTCATGAATATGATTAGGTGTATGATGAGTAATTTTTCATTATCTAAATCTTTGCAGATGCATACTCTTTAAAAAATCATTGTATATTTATTAAATAGGATTCCTAATAAGGAAGTATCGAAAGCCCTTTTTTGAACTAGGAACTGAAAGAAAACCTAGTTTAAGGCACATGCATGCTTAGGGTTGTGGTGGGAATAAGTGATAAATGTTTATGTATATGATACCCGGTATAATAAAAGTATCGACATATTTTAAATTTAGTTTGATCCTCTATCTATTAAATCCTATTGTAATTTGGAACAGTTTGATACAACGTCGACTTAGCCTGAGTTTCCTACTCTTTTCTAGTCTTATTGTTCATAATTGGATCTTTCCCATTGAGACAAATCTCGATCGTTATTTTGGACCCCAACTCTTCAACATCACAAACGAAGGTCAAGCTAAGTGTATCTTGATCCATCGTCTCAGGATTCATCTCAAAGATCTTCTTGCAGCTACTGTACAAGTAGGGATATTGTAGTAGTTTCAATTGTTTTGATGGTCCTCACAAATGCTAGGACCTGGTCCAAGGTAGAATTGCTCTAGTGCAAGTTTAATATGGTGAACAACTACAAAGCTGTCTTGCAAGCGGTTGGTGAGAAGGACGGTGTACTCCTCCAATGAGAATGGACGAGGTTGTTTGTTCAACGGATAATACATCGTTGGTTGATTGATATATTCAACACAACAAACAACAAACATTATTCATTCAAAAAGGTGATATTTTCTTTGAAAAACTCAAGCTTTAAAACTCACACATCAAGGAACCTGATAGAGTTATCAAGGGCATCTTTGAAGTGTTGTTGTCTAAATGCTTGTATTGTGTTGATATTGTAAGATTTGTTTCTCATCTATAAAAAAACGCATCGAGTCTTTTCTTCGGGTACTAAACATGACATGAACACAGTTAGAGTTAATTGTGTGTCTTGTGAGCGAAGTCTATATTAATTAGAGTTAGTTAATATAGTGGGCAATGGCTCGTTTAAGTAATAGAGTAATTACTTGTAGTGATATTAAGAGGTTAATCTCGTGTGATGTATTTGAAGTCTATATTCACTTATTGCTTGATATTAGAGAAAACAATTGAAAATCATGTGTGACAAGTCGTGGTTTTACTCCCTTGAGCAAGGAGGTTTCCACGTAAAACTCTTTGTCTTTACTGTTCTTAATAAGACAATGTCGATTTGTATTTTATGCGTTAAAGTCAATGCAATTATCCTACCAGAGAAGGAGAAAATTGATAGGACTAAAAAGAGAAAAATGGTCATTAATGTATAGGCTTTGGTCTTTTTTTTTTCTTTTTGATAAATTATGAATATTATCATTGAACAAATAAATACACGCACTCTAGGGATTCAGACCACCTTCCATAAAGGAAGTTCAATCTGTTGTGAACCAAGCGAACTCTGTAAAGGCCTATGGGCTATAAGAGACTTTTATTTGGGATTCAGGCCCAATAAACTATTTGTTAAAAAAGACTAGGATTTAGAAGAACGGTTAGGCAAACTTCGAAGCTTTGACTTTCTAATCCTCTCATCTCCCTTCTATGGTCTAGTATCTCATCCCTTTCTGGTTACTTCTTTCTCGGTTAATCTCTCCTTAGTTAGTGTATTATTACTTTGTTGTGCGTATTCTACATTGTAACTTGTATTCAATGAATAATATATATCTGTGTTTTTGTTGGAAATCGGGTTTGTTTCACAATTCCTAAGGCCTCCAAATAGGAACAACTTATTACAATTTTATATTTGTATACAATTTTATGTTTGTAGTCACTATTCACACATTATGACTGTAACATTTTATCTCATGACTTAAAATGTCGATGTCATTATCAAGTTATAGCAATTGATGGTGGTTATTCTATAGTATGATAGACATTATAGAAGTATTTATTGTACGACCAATGACGGTGTCATCAAATATTGGTGTTCTATGTGGTCATTGGGCCAAGTGAGAAAAAAGTTAAATCTTTTTACCAATTTATGTGTAGCATAATTATTAATATATAAAAGTCAATAAGTAATATTTTATTTAAGAACGAATCTTATCTCTTAGATTGAGTATTTGATGAATGTACTTAATTAATAAGTCTCAATCTTTATAAATTGGTTCTCCCTTCAGTCGTTAGGTAATTACCACATATTTGTTTACATATTTTCAATCATTGATCATTGTTTTAACTTGAGGCTAGAGTAATGAGATAGAAAATAGTTTTTATTTACGTTTTTATTTTGTGATGATGTCTTCAACTTCAAGTAAACGCTTTATAACCTTTAATTTTATATAAGACTATTGTATTCAAGATCCTGACATGAATTAAGTTTAAATTTACATATTTAATAAATAAAAAATCAACGTTTATATATTAAAAGACATTTTGACTATTTTCTCATCATGTTCACTATTTATGAAGTAATAATATTCACTTTAAACAATAAGCTCTAACAATTATGATAGTCAATTATTCATTTATTTTCATGTAATATGTACTTATCTCACTATATCAAATACAAATAACAAAATTTGATGATGTATACCATTCATAAATATACTAATTTGACTACTTTGATGACTAACAAACTAGTTTAACCACAACAATGACTAATAAATATGTCTCATTAAGATAAATTCATCATTAAATTTAATTGCCCAAAAAAACTTAGTAAAGGAAAAAATAAGACCGTTAATTTTAAGGTAAAATCTAATTAATGAAAATCTTGACTATTTTGAAAAAAATCTAAAAAAAAAAAAATTATTCACAATTTATTATCTATACATTAATTAATTTTTAACCAATTTTTCATTTTTTTCCCAATAAATAGATCTCTTAAGTTTTAAACTAAACCACACCACCATTTTCATTACACCATTTCACTGAGTACATGTGCTTGGTGATTTAGAATTGAGTCACGGGGTTATCACTGATAAGCATGTGGTTGGTGAGGGCATTGTTGCTGCAACCTTTCGACTCTTTAAGCGGCGAAGCAGTGTCTGATGTCTGATATGGAGAATACATTAAAAGATTGCATCGTATTTTATCCGACTAGCATATCATTTTATATGATTTGCTAGATAAAATAGAGTGGTGGAAGATCAACTGAGATTGAACAATACTGAAGGCAGGCCTATCGTATCGTGGTGGTCTCAGTATCATGTAATATTGAAAGAGTTAAACAAGATTTCTAAGTTGCTTAACAACTCGGAGGTCTTTTGGCAGAAGTTGAGTAAGCAAAAATTTTCACTGTGCTTTCTAATCGAGATGTTTGCAAAGAGTTTTGAAGATTATCGGTGGATCATTGAGCACAAGGAGGTAACCAATTTCAAAGTACGGAGACATTTCACAATCTTTTAGCGGCAACTATTATTTGATTTAGTGGTGGATTTAGTTGCCGGTAAAACAAACTTTTATTGGGCGATTGTTATAGGAATTAGTGGTGGTTTTTGTTGCCAGTAACACTTACTTTTAGAATTAGTGGTGGTTTATGTTGCCATTAATACTTACTTTTAGCAGCGTTTCTTAAATGATTGCGGAGGATTTGTTGCCACAAATACTTTCTTTTAGAGGTGACTATTATATTAATTAGTGGCAGTTTTAGTTGCCACTAATACTATCTTTTAGCGGCAACTCTTATTTGATTTAGTGGCGGTTTATGTTGTATTTTGTTTTAGCAGCGATTCTTATATGATTTGTTGCGGTTTTTGTTGCCACTAATATTATCTTTTAGCCCTAACTCTTATATGATTTAGTGGCGGTTTTAGTTGCCAATAATATTATCTTTTAACGGAAACTGTTATTTTTATTGTAGCAGATTTAGTTGCCGCTAAAACAAATTTTTAGCAGTGATATGTATAGGAAATAGTGTCGGTTTTTACTGCCACTAATACTATCTATTAGCGGCAGCTGTACTTTGATTCAGTGGCGAAATTTGTTGCTACTAATACTTTCTTATTGCCACTAATATTATCTTTTAGCGGCAACTTATTTTTATTGTGGCAGATTTGGTTGCCGCTAAAACAAACTTTTAGCGGCCACTGTAATATGAATTAGAGGCGGTTTTTGTTGCCACTAATACTTTATTTTTGCGGCTACTCTCATATGATATAGTGGCAGTTTTAGTTGCCACTAATACTATCTTTTAGCGGCAATAGTTTAATGATTTAGTGGTTGTTTTAGCTGCCACTAATACTATCTTTTAGCGGTAATAGTTTAATGATTTAGTGGTTGTTTTAGTTGCCATTTATACAATCTTTTAGGGGTAATTGTTATATAATTTAGTGGCGGTTTTAGTTGCCACGAATATTAACTTTTAGAGACATTGTTATGTGAAATCGTGGCGCATTTTTGTACCACTAGTTTTTTTGACACATATATGTGTTGGACGTGATTATCTAAGAATGTAAAATAGTGTGAATAACGTTAGCAATAATTAGTAATAACTAAGAGAATTTATAATGTTATAACTAAAGAATTTATGTGCAATAGCTGAATTTTATACGTACATAAATAAATAGGACTTTTAATTAATAATACTATTTTTATTTTAGTTATTAGATTTAAATTCAGTGTAGGGACAAAATGTAAATGTTTATTCCATATTACTGAATATAAAGTTTATTTTGTAAATGATAAATTTTAAATGATTCATATATTTTCACATTTTTTGTGAGTTAGTTTTTTAAAAAGAAAATAACTCGTAACATTTTAAAATAATATATTTTGAAGTTAGAAGATCTTATTAACTTGATAATACATGACATATATAATACTTTAATTTAAATATAAATACTTAACCAAATAAAAAAATATATTTGCATTAATGAAAATATTTGTCTCATAAAAATTAGCTATTAAATAAATAATACAAATAAAACTAATACAAACTTCAACTTGCGTTATTACAAGTCATATGAACTTTTCTTCATTTAAATACTAAACTATTAAGAAATAATAAATAAGTATAACAAAAGGGCAATGTTTATATAGTAATAACGATTTTGAAGCAAACTTTCTGACAATGTAAATCACATAAATAACATTGATAAATAAAGTCATTATTTTGTCTTGAGCATAAAAAAAGATCATGACAATTCTCTAAATTTTGGAGAAAGATATTCAGAAGCATATATCTACATCACAAGAGAAATTGTTAACAAAAATAGATGAATTTAGACTACATCATGTTAACTTCATATATTGGAACATTACAAACTAATGTATATATTACACAAAAAAATAATTATTTTATCAGCAAAATTATTTTCCTCAAGTACTCGAGGTTATGGAATATACGTTCTTAGGATAGAATGATTTACTTCATCAGAATAGTGGTACCTTATATTTCGCTAAACTTCGAACTCACCCAACAACAATAAATCACACAAAAAAATTTAAAATGCAAGAAGAATAAGAGTATAAGATTAAAAAAATTGTGGTTTAAAAATGAGAGGAAGCCATCTATTTATAATCAACAAAGGATAGTATGAACAAGTGTTTTTTGTGTCTTATCTGAAAAGTGATGTTTCCGAGAAGTCACAACTCTTTGGAAAATTCACAACTTATTGAAAAAGTCACAACTCTTTGGAAAAGTCACAACTCAACGAATAATCACAATTCTTTGGAAAAAGTCACAACTCATCGAAAAAGCCACAACTCATTGAAAAAGTCACAATCTAAGTTAGGGATATTTTAGTAATTTTGTTGTGTGTGAGTGAGAGGAGGGTTCGGTCTTACCTCAAAATACTTTTATCCTTCGCAAAAGTAGGGTTAGGAGATTACTCATCATACATACCTTTATCATATTCATAAGTATCCAATTAAATCTTTTTGCGATATCAATCTTAGCTAAATTTGATTTGAATCATACAAAAACAGTTAATATACATTTCTTTTAAATCAAATTTTACGCTTAAGACAATCTTTCTGATAATGTCCTTTCCTTCACATAATAAAAACATATCTACCTTAAATTCATTCATAACATCTGGTAAAACATTTATTTAATTTATTCTTTGTACTTTCTGATTAAGCTTTAGATTATTTACCAACTACTTGACTTATAAGGTTGATCGGTTAACTCTTCTATAATTCATTAATCTTATTTCCTCTCAAGTAAACAAAAGGTTCCAAATACCATCAATGTCTACTGGAGGAACAGCAATGAAGGAAATATATAATAAATACACAAGTTATCGTCAATAAGGTGGGATCATCAAAACACCAAACCATCCAATGTATTTACAATCCTAGTTATCCACTTACAGAAGCGACCCCATAGGCTTTCGCTTTCGCCTCTCTCTGAAATTGCAGGTAAAATTTTGGTTTATTTAATCATCAGTGCTCCCAAACACACGAGTTTTCTATAAATAAAAATAGAAAAATAAAAGGCTTGTTATTCAACAGTATAACATGACTTATATATACTCGTGTCAACCAAGGTGTATGTGGATCTGTTCCAATTTTGAAAAGTTGATTAGAAATATACGGACTTTTCTACAGAGAATTAGAATTTCAATATGATAGTGGGCTGCCCGGGATTTGAACCCCCTTCTCAAAGACATGGTTAGCATTTGGACCTGCACCCTCGACAGCCCCGGCCTTTTCATCTCCCTGCAGCGCAAGTGGACATTGTATCAAATTGTTCTGAATTCCAATAGGATTTAATAAACAGAGGTTATCCTAGCTAGAATACTATATAAGTTTTGATTCCCCGCCAACTAGATGATTTCTTCCCACCAATATAAGTTTTGTCGAGCAAAGTTACTGGAGAGAGATAGTAGGTATGTTGGTATAGTCGTGACATATGTGCAATTTGGATTGAACACCATCGTAAGTCTCCTCCAACTTCTTCACAGTGACAACGCGTCATCTCATTCATCAAGATTGATTCTCAAGATAGCTAGCTAGTTTACATTTTTTTCGAAAGTTAGTTGTAATCTTTTGCTAGTACTATTAGTTTATTTCATTCTTTCAGCATTGTGGTATTTGCATTTGTTTTTTATGTTTGACATGTTCTAGAGGTCCTTTGGATCTCCCAAGTCAAAATTTTGACACTTTTTTGTTCGACATCTCACTTACTTTACCATTTTCAAAGTATCTTGCATATCAGTTTCAATAATTCTCGAACTATGGTTTGAATAGTAAAACTTATATTCTTTAGATTTCTTTGGATAATGAATCAATCACTTACTATTCTAATTTTACGTTTAAGATTGTCTTTCTTATAATATCCTTTAAATTCATTCATAAACACATTATTAGATGCTTTCTTCCTCTTATACTTGTTGATTTAGCTTTAAATATTTAATTACCAACTACTTTAAGTTATAAGGTTGATCAAATTAACTATTCAGAATTTCAAAAAAAAAAAAAATCTAAAATATAACCTAAATTTAACCTAACTGACTTTTAGATTCTTATCATTGAAACCGTTTAACTTTTAAAACTATAGGTCCGACTATAGATACACTTCGAGACATCTATTTTTAAGTATCTTTTTAAAGAATATATAACACTAATATATACGATTCTAGAAGAAAAACTTAGATTAATTTACGTGAACTCAGTGACCCCATGTAGATACACCCCTGATCAAATAACTCTTTTAAGTGTAGAGAAACAAGTGTGAGATGAAATACATGAACAACGAACAATGCATAATCATTCTTAATGAATTTACATAATGAATTTAAATAACTAACCATTGCAATATATCATAATTTTTCTTTGAGTAGATAGTATATTATTATTTTTCTTTTTAATCTTCAATAGAAAATTAAAAGTTCTCAATCAAATATATTTTTTAACATACAAATATATACGTTTGACTACAAATAATAATAATAATAATAATAACTTGCTCATTATGTTCACTATTTATGAAGTAATTGATTCACTTTAGACAATTGTTAACAGTCAATTATTCATTTATTTTCATGTAATATGTACTTATCTCATTATATCAAATACAAATAACAAAATTTAATGATGCATACCATTCATAAATACATTAATTTGACCACTTTGATGACAAATTACATCACTTTATGCATTTATATTTTTTTTCAACAAATAGTTTAATCACTTTAATGACTAATAAATGTTTCTCATTAAGATAAACTCATCATTAAATTTAATTACCCCAAAAACAACTTACAAAAAGAAAAAAATAAGACCATTAAATTTAGGAGAAAATCTAATAAATAACAATTTGACTATTTTGAGAAAAATATAAGGAAATAAGACTTTATTCACAATTTGTTATCTATAGATTTATTATCTTTTGACCAATTTCTCATTTTTTTCCTATAAAGAGATTGCTTAAGTTTTAAACTAAACCACACCACCATTTTCATTACACCACTTCACTTCACTTTTCCAATATGATTGACAGTGATAACTACCACGGTATCACCGGAAAACGAAAGAGAACTGATCAAACTCCAATTCAGTTCTTCGTTCGTTCTTTATCCAAAACAGAAACCTTAGTTATTCGAGGTTATTCTAATGACTCCATAGAAATAACTAAAAATAAAATCAGAATGATCACTGGTATGCCCGAAGATCACCAGCGACTAATCTATAACGGGAAACAACTCTCCTGTCAATCGGAGACATTGGCATTTTACAACATTCAGAATGATACAACTATTCATTTAGTTGGTAAAATGCCAACATATCATCTGCAGACATGGAAAATCACTACTGAGATAATTTCAAAAATCTCCATGATTTTCAATAGTGATTATGTTTGTCATTCCTCGGATTTGAAGGATATGACAATGTTGATGAAAGAGTTCACATTTATGATTCTAAACAAAAATGCTGAAGAAGCATGTCACAACATACAGTTCTTTATTTCGTCGTCTGCTCCTGCAGATTTGGTAATACTCTATATGTCTCGGGATAATACTAAAAAATCAATTGCTGATAAATTTATTCATAGATTCATCAATTCGATGATGAGTATTGATTTGCCTAAGAAGAGATACAGTGGATGTGCTCGATTGATATTGGAGTTCTGTAAGCTACTGAGAAGAGTTGTTGGGCTTGAGGATCCCTTGTATAGATTTTGTCGGAGTATTATAATGGATATAGTAGAGGCCGTTGGAATTGCAAGGTGCAAGAAGAATGTTGCTGATGAATTGTTAGCATTGAATGATGTTTTTATGATTGTTCGTGAGGTTGTAGTAGCTGATTTATCCCGTGAGTTAGAACTGAGTATGGGATCAATTGAGTCTACGGGGTTATCACTGATAAGCATTGTGCGTGATTTCACTGAGTACATGTGCTTAGTGAGGGCATTGTTGCAACAACCTTTCGACTCTTTAAATGGTGAAGCAGTGTATAACAGAGAGTACATTGAGAGCTTGCATCGTATTTTATCTGACCTGCATATTATGTTATATGATTTGCTAGATAAAATAGAGCGGTGCTTAAGGAAATTGGAAGATCAGCTGAGATCTAACAATGAAGCTGGCATGCTTATCGTATCGTGGTGGTCTCACTATCTTGTAATACTGAAAGAGTTAAGCAACATTAATTCTGAGTTGTTTAACAACTCGGAGGTCTTTTGGCAGAAGTTGAATCAACAAAAATTTTCACTGTGCTTTCTAATCGCGATGTTTGCAAACAGTTTTGATGATTATCGGTGGATCATTGAGCACAAGGAGGTAACAAATTTCGAAGTACGTAGACATCTCACAATGATGATGCTTGAAGAAGCTAGATTCGGAAACAAGGAGAAGTCATATGAGATGCTCATCGATAGGTCCGTGCTGTTGGATGTATCTTTTGAATATATTGTATATCAGGATCCTGCATTGTTGCGAGGCGATCTGTTAATTCAATTCAAACATAAAGAAGCTACTGGGCCCGGAGTGTTGAGAGAGTGGTTTTTCTTGGTATTTCGAGAGATGTTCAATCCTCACAAGGCCCTCTTTGTTGCTTGTCCAAATGATCGAAGAAGGTTTTTTCCAAATTCAGGTAAGCTTTTATCGCTTTTATGCACAAATTTGCATCAAACTAGAATTAACTTTAGTCATTAATATATATTTTTGGTCGCAGCATCTAAGGTGATCCATTACACCTCGAGTATTTCACCTTCTGTGGTAGAATGATTGCATTGGCATTAATGCATAAAATACAAATCGGAGTTGTATTTGACCGTCTATTCTTCTTGCAATTGGCTGGAGAGGATATTTCA